GCCGAACAAATTGTTTTTGCTCCCGGGGCTTAAAAACGATTTGTTCGGGCCGAACAAATCGTTTTTGCTTCCGGGGCTTAAAAACGATTTGTTCGGGCCCCCAACAAATCGCTTTTGCTCCGGGCCTAAAAACGATTTGTTCGGGCCGAACAAATCGTTTTTGCTCCCGGGCCTAAAAACGATTTGTTCGGGCCGAACAACTTGTTTTTGCTCCCGGGGCTTAAAAACGATTTGTTCGGGCCGAACAAATTGCTTTTGCTCCCGGGGCTTAAAAACGATTTGTTCGGGCCGAACAAATTGTTTTGCTCCCGGGGCTTAAAAACGATTTGTTCGGGCCGAACAAATCGTTTTTGCTCCCGGGGCTCAAAAAACGATTTGTTCGGGCCCAACAAATCGCTTTTGCTCCCGGGGCTTAAAAGCGATTTGTTCGGGCTAAACAAATCGTTTTTGAACCCCGGGCCTTGCATGCGTGGAGATTGATGTTGGGCTGAATTCGCGGAACACTGGAGGAAGGGCGCGGAAGGACCGCGGAAGGGTTCCGTGATTTGGATGGCTTGTGTGCGATGTGTTGTTCTCGTTGGTCCTGTGCGGGAATCGTAGCCGCGGTGTGTCGTGAGGCTTCACGTTTGCGTTGCAAATCTATTGGGATTCGCGTTTCAGGGCTCGTCGTGACCCATAAACCATTTGCTACAGCCGTCTACTGCTCGTAGCAGAAACTGGATGGCTCCACGTTGCACAAGGATGTCTCAAGCACAGGCTCGCAATCTCTTCAGGGCTTCCCCAGCATGGCTGTTTCACTTACCTGTTTCTAGCGTCCAAGCCTTTAGTATCACCAGCTATGCCGCCAAATCCAAAGCCATGGGCCGATCTGGCCTCATCTTCCGTGGATCTAGTTGTGTTGGCTTGGCAAGAGAGAGACGCAAGCCGCGGAAGGCGCGGAAGGGAAATGAGAGCGCGGAAGCAAACACCCGCAGCACGGAAGCGCGCGGAAGCACGCGGAAGCGCCAAATGATATCATCGCAATTTGGCCTATTGATTTTGATCACCGCTCATGTGCCTTTGCATACGTGCAAACATTAACATCACCTTTTTGCACTGCCACGCTCTTTTAGTGAATTTGCCAAACGAAAGCTTGGCGCAGCTGCTATGGGAGCGCAGCAAGCGTGGGCTGCTCGCATGCCCAGGAATTCAAGCAGATGGTGCTGCGCTCAATGCGGGAGCTGTCCACTCAAACCTTGGCGGCCGCGTTCGAGATTCGGTGCTATCGAGGCCTTGGAAGCCACGCGCCCCGCATCCTTTTATTTATTCGCGCCCCTTGGGTGAAAACCCGTGAGTCGCTGCATTGACGCACGTTTTGACTAATATTGTCTATCCACCGAGCTCACTTGCTTGTAAGCCAGAAAAGCCGTGGTCGCAAAAGCCCAAGCACCGAGGATTTCGTGCTTCAACGTTTCGCATATGCTTGTGTGCGGCTCAGTTGCTTCGGAAGGTTCCCAGGTACGACCTCAATGTTTTGCTCTCGCCTTGCATGCCTGCTGACGCTCATGGAGTATTTGGGATGCCCGGGTCCAGTATTTTTCTTTGCAACACGCTGAGTCATGCAGAAGGCCTCGCAGTAGCATGTGGTATGTCATTTTGTGGTCAAGCAGTGCTCACGGATGTTATTTCAAGCTCCTAGCCATTTAGTTACTTAGTTACTGAGGTGCAATTTCGGGGAAGGCACACGAGAAAGCCTGCGTCGCACCACTGTAAACTTCTTTGTCCAAGAGGGTGGCCCTCGCCTGCTCCAGGCATTGTCCTGGTTTAGGCTGACTTTCCCACAGCTTGTGGCCAAGGCTATCTACTTCGACCTCAACACCTGCCCCTCTGTGTCCCCGTTGGGCCAAGTGCCCTGCGCTTCCAAGCGCCAGCTGCGGAACCTTGCGCGCTTGGCGGGGGCCCCCGAGGCTCCCACAGGCCACGAGGGCACTCGACAGCTGAGGTCGTCCGTGAGTGCAACGCGAACGATGCCACTTTGCCTGATCAGCCTTTCGCGTTCGCAGTTGCACTGTTCCAAGATAGCAAAGGCATATTTTGACTCCGCTGCAAGGTAGACATGTCCGTGAGCATATGCAGGCTTGTGCTTAACGAGGCGGGGATGCCAGTTCCAGGAGTGTGTGAGAAGGGTGGGCTGGCGGCCCCAAAAATTCTTAACAAATAGCAGCTTCAACCCACGCAATTTTGGTGCGTGCCCACGTGTTCTCATCAGCCTAACGGCTTGCATATTTCTGAAATTCTGCCAAGGTCTTTTATGAGGTACTTGGCGTCGTTCACAAGGCTTGGCTTCAGCTCAATCAGAACGGAGCCTTGCCTGACAGATGATGAAGGGATGACCAGAGCTTGGATTTCGGACCCTTCGGCTAGCCGATTGTCAGGACGAGGCATGTCCTCTCAACATCCAATGGCCATCCAAGTTTTAAGCTTTGCCAGCCTGTTCTTATAGTTGGTTGGCCAAGGTGAAAAGGTAACCTTATTGGATTTCCACAAGGCGCTGCGTGACTTTGGCCGCACAGGATCTGGGGCTGTGAAGGTGTTGGTGTTGAGCCCTAGCAAGTCGGCCAACTCAGGCCGGGGCTATGAAGCAAACTCCTCCTTTTGGCAGAGGCGTGCTGATGCATACGTTTGCATTGAGCTTGCAGCTTGCTGTTGCGGCGCCCTTCCGTGCACTATCTTATATTCTGGCCGGCGCTCTTGCGTGCGTGTTGTTGCATGACATGATGCGCATTGCGAGAAGTTAAGAAATGTGTTGGTGGCAGAGGTAGTACCATGTAGAGTTGAATTCAATCCAACAGATAAGAGACGGTGCTGGTACCAAGGCACGTGCGACTCGTTTTTCTGTGATGTTTGCAATGGCTCAGCATGTAGTTGGGAGCCTGGCAAAAAGCAGCTGCCAAGGCCATGTGACTCATTGGGTGACCTCAAGATGAGTTGAGTTGATCTGACTCATGATGCCTGCCTCAGAGTTTGATCATCCAGGGCCTCTCATGCTTGAGGAATTTGCCAAGGAGCAACCAAGGGTGTTTGCACTCATAGCTCACAACTCAATCGGGTGATGCCATAATGGTGAATGTGGACGCAGACAGTTTCACTCAAAGGCTTTGAGCTCGCGCACTGGGCAGAGACTTTCGAGCATGACCACGTTGAAATGCAAGCAGGCGATGCGGAAAAGTGGCGGTGCTTGAGATGAGCTTGAGAAGAAATGTTGATATGCTGAGGCAAGCGTAGAAGAACGTTAAATCATGAAGGTCACACTGCGAGCCTTTCATTCAAGCCACCCCCTCCAGCCTCAGCGTTGCCAGCGAGCCCCAGGCTGGTGCCAAGACACCAGAAGTGAAGGACGCTGGCTATGCGCGGCAGATGTGGGGGACCCAGGTGAACTAGAATCACTTGCTAGATCTGCCAGGCTCTAGGAAGCAACTTAATGTTATTGTTTAGATTCTTGTTTTTGGGATTGTTGTTGTTTGTTTATCGCTTCTATTTCTATAATGCTGTATATTCATTGTTTAGTCAGCAGAGCTAGTATCTCGAGCCATGATAGGATGTGTTATTCTTTTTCGAACCTTTCTTAATTAGTCAGGTCCACAGATTTACGAAGAGCATTTGAGAGAACGAGGGAAGTCTGGCATGGCGCACGCCCAAAGAGTGGCAGAGAACCACCCGCAGGCGGCCGACTCCTGAGCGAGGTGAAGGGCCTGCTCAGGCTTGGGAGCCCGGTTTCAGGTGAGATCTTGGTTGCGAGCAAGAGGCCCGGCTGCAAAACTAAAACGTCAGTGAGGCAATGCTACGTTGCAATGGCTCGTTGGATGGGGTTTCTGACCAGGGCATAAGTACGGATGTGCATCTACGAATGGTACGTTCATGAGAGAACGAGCTGTTTCAGGTGACGCTCGGTGACCTTGGACTTCACTGCACTGCGTGGAATCAGGTCAGCTGAGCCTTGTGTCGCTTACGGGTTGCAGGGCAAGCAGTCCAAGTCAGGCCGAGAGTGGTTGACCTGAGTGGTTTTTCACGACCAAAGCATCCGGAAAGGGGAGTGGCCCTGCCAGGCCGGTGCGCCAGCCGGGTGCCCAGGTCTTTCATGTCTTCAGGATGGCATGGAGGCACAGAGAGGAAGTGTTGCCGAGCCCACGTCATCCAAGGCTGGGTGGATTCCGCCTCAGAAGGCTCTTTGGGGGGCCGTGGTTGGCGGGTAAACCTCGGCTGCTGCTTTGCATGAGCTCGATTTTGAGAGCTTGGACACCTGGAGCTGCTGTTCCACGCAATTTGCAAGGCAGGCTGCAAGTGATTTGTGCGCGTACCGCCAGCCAGGCGGTGGGCCCCAGCGTCATGAGCACTGCGCCG